AATTATTTAAGTTGAACTAGACACTTTAAACTGATGCGAAAACTTATCTAAAGAAGCAAAGAAGGGTGGAAAATCATAATAATAAGATAATCCAATCGTTGTGTGCTTGCATATTTTTTAATTTTTGGCGTTATATTATATATATATTTTTTTTTATTTTTTACTTAGTGGAAATATTTATAAGTTTCCACCCCACTCAATGTTTTACGTATAATTATATTGTGATGGATATAAAATATTGAATACGGTATATACGGGATTCTTTCTTTGCGTAGTGGCAGAGCCCTCTGATCAGTTTACAACTGTCATTCAACTGTCCAATCAGATAGCTTTGTATCCCACGAGGTTATAACGGTACGTGGTATGTCAAGCGGGCGACTGAGAGCGGGGAGTGCCCGCCTGGTACCCCTGGGTCAGATATAACCCAATCACATCGAACTGTATCTACCTGTAATTACCCCAGCTCGCATCTGTATGGGTAGCCGTAGTGCCAAATTTATGGCATAACGTGCAATGTAACACCATCGGCTCCTTCTGTGGAGTTTATGTGGAGGGCACAGCCCCCAGTTTCTCTGTGCGTGGACCTCATTACGTAAATGGATTAGTGATCCGTATGGCTATGGCACCCATAGGAAAGAAGGGAAAAGTCTGCTTGTCTTGTCTGGAATATGGCATGGTGCACTTTCTATCATTGAGGTTTTATTGCTTTACAACGAAAATAACGGGTGCGGATAATATAGCCATTCTGGACTACTTCACATTTTACGAACACTCGTACGTGACTAGGGTCAGTTTAATCATCACTTCTCTTCTTTATCTTCCTCCCTTTACTTCTTAGTATCAATGTTTGATTATAATCGATGCAAATTTATTCATTTTTGTCCAGTAAATCGATTGTATTTTCTCAATATCTTGATTGAATGAGCGCTTTATCTATATTGGTATCACTTTTTCTGCCAACTTATTATCGATTTTAATTACAATTTTTAATGTAAAAAAAAATAAATTAACGGAAAATATTCTCAATTTTATTTGCATCTTATTATAAATTATCATTTAGCTTATATTTTAGGGATTATTATTTGTTTTATGGAATACATTACTTCCTTCTTTTTTTAAAAAAAAATTATTTTTATTGTCAAATCGTTCGAAAATTCAATTTAAATTTATTCAATAAACTAAAATAATTAAATTTAATGAAGGGAATTTCAATTATATTTTATTTTAAGTTAATGTCTGCTTATAAAAGATACAATTAAAATGAAATAATGAGCCAGAAAGACGATCATTCTCTGTATGACAGCTTTGATTTCCTAGAGATATTTGCATATTTTTTCTTTTCAAATTTTAAAATCTTGATAAAATATTTAAATAATTAAATTTATAATTAGCTTTTGATATGGCATATCCACTTTTAAATATAAGTTTATGAACTTTTACATATTTACATTTATAAATCTATATTAATTTACTAAAAGGGGATGAATTTACTTGATTATAGGCCTATATATATCTGTTAAGATCGAACCTAACTGTANTCTATTTCTTCTCGTAAACAAAAAATAAAAATAATAATAATAACCAAGAAAATAATTTATATAGAAATGTTTTGATTTTAACACGCTATAACTTCATAGAATGACTGTTAATTCACCAGAAACCTGTTTATTGTTTACTTCTAAAGGATTCTTATATTATACAATTTACAAAAAGACTACGTATCTACGATTTAAACGAGGTACAAGTAGATAATTTCAATCGCAGCATCGAAAATAATAGCATTTATGACCCTGTAAACTTTCAGGTGCTGTCAATATTTCACCGAACACTCGATGATCAATTAGAATAGAACCACACCTGAGTTTATTGAACCTGGTTCTCGTGACAACCACAAATTTAATTGAAGAGACGTCGCACACGAGGTCGTCACAGTTGACACGGAAACAATTGTGGCCCGGCTTACAATCAATAGATAGAGCAACATAAAATGTATGTGGCAGACAGGATACGTTGGCCAAGCTGCATCACCTATGACTTTACCGGGTCATTTCCTTTTTCTTGGGCCGAATCGATGATGTTAATGTTAAGTAACGTGTCAATAGATTTAATCGATAACAGGATAGAGTCATTTAATTACTAAACTTATACAATTAAGCGAAGGAAAAGGGTATAAACCTCTACCAATCTTTTGAAGATTCTTCTAAATTCTAATTTAAAGTATCACTTCTTTTTTTTTTATTTATTTATTAAACCTTGGGAATTTCTAGTTAAATCTTATTATTTTAATTTACTAGCTCTAATTATCTTCGAGTCATTTCGGAAAATTGTTTACCTGCAACAGGTAGAGAGTAGCATCATGCTAATTTTACTCCAAACAATAATAGAACTAATTAAACATTCTTATATTAACTTAATTAAATTTTATAACTATTCCGAAATTTAAATTAGCAGGGTCGAGTTATATTTATGAAAATTTACTAGCCTCGGGTTCTAGACGGAGATGAATATGATATTAATTCTTCGTTAGGAGTAGAGTTTCATACTTAAAAATTAGATTTTTTTTTTTTTTGGTGTAGTTTCTTCTTCCCCTCTATTTAAAGCCATCATAACAATCGAGTATATGATTTTTCATTTGATATATCGATCGATGCAAAAGCTTAGATGTGATCTGTTCGAGTTATATCTGCACGAACTTAACAAGATTTTCTTGTCTGCAACATTTTGTCGTCTTTAAGTATACATGGATGAACAGCACATCTGTTTCCGTGATGGACATTCTAACCAATCTGATATGGCAGAAACAAATGACATTCTTGGGCTGTTTCTCTCTATTACTTCTACCCATAAACGTGTATTTTTTCAGAATAAAATAACTCTAGACAGGATATAAGAATACCTAAAAAAACATTTCTAAACCTTCAAAGCTATCGAATTAATAAATATATATTTTAAAAATATTCAAATTCTTTCTTCTCAAATAACAAAAGAAACATATTTTCTAGATATATTTTATTGTGTTTTGTATTTCTGACCTCTTAAACTTGTCTACTATAGTAAGAAATTGTAAAAATTCGACGATTTAGAGAGACGAATGTCACCATCTACAAAGTCCTGTAAAGAATATTCAGTTTGTGTTGTTTTACATGGAAACAACATCTGTGTTATATACGTTCTTTGAGGTAATATTTCAAAGGAGAAAAGGTGCACCATCTGGGAGACGGGACTAACCTGTTATCGCTGGTCACAGAACACGTGAAATATGGACATAGTATGTGCATAATATGGCATTTTGCTACCACTTCCTAGCCTCTAGCAATCATTTTGAATTATCAAGAGGGGCAGGGACACATCATATATCATGTATGGTCAGAAAAAGCTGACCGATGATAGAAAAAAATAGAGCAGTGCAAGCATTATATTCGGTAAAAAGAACTGCGTTATGTCGAGTATAGAAAAAGAGGAGAAGTAAGGGGGAAAAACCCTGCTTAAATCTAGAATAAATTGAATTTTTATATTAAACTTTATCTCGATATTCAAATACGTTTCTATTTCTTCTCGTAAACAAAAAATAAAAATAAAAATAATAATTATTAATGCGTTTCTTAAGCTTCACCAGCAATTCTAGAGATGGATAAAGGGAAAATAAATTTTGCTGCGGCTAAGAAGGTTTGAAAAGATATCGAAAAAAGTCCTCCTTTCTATCACTACACGACAGAATTATAACCTGACTATGCAAAAAGTATCTTTTACTGAGAGTAAAGACATAAAATTGGAAGAAATACACCGCATCAAATGTGTCTTAAAGAAAGACGTATATGAAATATATTATTGAGAAAAATTCGGGTTTTTTTTTACTAAGAAAAAGTCAGTGAACATTACGGAAATTGCATTCTCCTTGGATATTACAGTAGAAATAAGGGTCGAGTTAGTAATATTGTCAGATTATACAATTTCGTTCCATCACCAGAAAGTAGAAAGATGAAAGTAGAGTGTAGATGCGTGTGTGCGCCCACGAGAACTTGTGAATTATGCTGAAAAGGATTTACTTTCTAACATTTCCAAAAACTTTGAATGTCTAGATTTAAATATTGCATCTGTCGGGTTTTATTTGTATCATTATCATACTTCTCTCTCTCTCTAGCTCTGTCTTCTTTTATACCATTGGCCTAGGTAATTGCATGTGGCTAATCAGTACTATCTCCACGAAAACATTCTGCTAGCTAGTCATTATCTTTCATTTGATAATTTTCATGCTCCTGTGGGTACAATTATTGGCCTATCATGTTTGAGAATAATGGTTTTATTGATTTCTACTTTTATATAACAGTTAAACAATTCTTAAACGTGCAAAGGAAGAAGAAATATAATAGGCTAGGTATTATTTTTTTAAAAAGAATGGCAGCTGCAGAAGTGGATAACAAACTTTAAAACTCAACAATCTCTTCTTAATAAGTTTACATTCATCGGTAGCATATAAATTCCACTAAAATCGAATCTGTGAAGACCACAGAACTTCATCAGTTCTGCGATTCTTAAATATTTAATAAAGGAGAGTAATATCGTTCAGCGGAAACAATTTTAATTTCCTTTTAAGTCAATTAAAATCTAATTTACAATTACCGCTCTATTTTATTCTCTTTTAATTACAATTTTAATTAAATTATACAGTTAACAACTTTATAAACTACGATTTCTCAAAGAAGAATTATTTAGACGGTTAGTAATTTTGACGATTCGAAAAAACTTATAAGACGAACGAAGGATAAGAAAAGCATAAAAAATACAAATAATTTAACAATGCAGAAATGGATAAATTCTTTGATAAAATCAGTATAAAAGTCGACATTTCGAGTCTCTACCCCCCGCAGCGTGCCAAGGGAATATAACTGTCAAATTACCCTCGGCCTAATTAAACGAACGTAACAGACGTTGCAAATAACAAAGGTGTAATTACCAGCCGTGTTAAAGATCAAACTTTGACGGCCTTGGTGGTTCTGAGAAACGAGGAATCGCCATCTGTCATCAAATACAGCATCGACAGCACAGGTAACCAATTAAAGACGTACTATATGTTGCTAATGAAACGTGTCAGAATAAACTTTTAACAGGAAAAGTGGATACCGCGTCTGCCACATGTAATTACTGAAGTTGACTGTGTACTGCAATACGACACTTCCAACCATTAGTCAGTGTTAGAATTTTGATAAATGTCACTACGCGAAACAAACAGAGTCAGTCCCTCGGCTTGTTATCCAACATACTTTGGTTAAAGGATAAAATTGGACAGAGACCGCAATTAGAAGGCATTCCTCTGACTTGTCGAAATCAAATTCGTCTTGTCTCCAGTACATTTTCTATTTATACTTTCTCGTTTCGAATTGTTATGCAAATGATTTAACACCGATAAAATTGCGACTAGGAAAAGGTGGGTCAAGTTTTATTAAACTACATTCTTGTTTGAGTATACTCGCGAGCAACTGTTTCTGTTTTTCTTTTTCTTTTTCTTCCCCTCTCTTCTCCCTTCTAAGTGCAGTTTATCGCAATGGCAAGGTCCAATTAGACAATAAAAATAAATCATAAACTAAAGATAAATATTTCTTTTAACAACAGCAAAACTTTCATGTCGATTCGTTTATATATTAATGTTAATGCTATAGAAATACACATTTTGTATGAGAAAACTAAACAAAATTATTAGGCCTTGGTTTCTGTATATAATTTATATATTTTTAATTAATCAATGATGTTAAATCGATCGCAAACACTAACGAAATGTGCTTTGTATCTAAAATGCTTATAAACGAGTAACAATATTATAAAATTTCCATAAAGTATCTAATATTCTTTCAATAAAATATAAAATTTTTATAAATTAAATGTAATATTAAGCAATTCTTCTTATTAAATGTGGCATAAATTCCTCATGAAACCAGTCGCATTACTAATAAGATCTGTAGAAAAATATAAAAAAAAATGTTCTTAAATAATAATTTGAAATATATTAAGACACCTTAAAAAGCTCCAATATTAAATTATAAGTCTACTATTGCCTAATTATTAAAAAAAAAGTTCTAAATACCCCCCTACACTTTCTATTCTAGTATACGTTAGGTCTGACTAACATAAGCTTCTCACTGTAAATATACTGAGTTCGTCTGAATTTCATTAATGTTTAATGAATTTTCATGATGATAGATTTACCTTAGGCTCCGTAACTAGACTGACATTACACAAGTAGATATATAATGTATTGACAGGTTAAGAATGCATTGTTTCAAGTTTGTTTATATATATATATATATACAGTATATATAAATAAAAAAATTAATAAAGATAATAAAATTTATTTACTATAATTTATATTGAAAAAAAGTTATTATATAAATAAATGGTGATATTTATCTGTTACCGCAAGCATAAGGTATAAAAGTAGAAAATCCTCATCTTACTGATGATTTTTGATAGAAGTCGAGCGGTTTGCTCTTAAGAGAGTAGGTTTGACATCTTCAAACTGAGAGTAGGATATCGTTACTCTGTTAAGTATATACTTGGGGATATTTCGAAGATGATACCTTTAGCAAGAAGATTGAGAGACAAACGATTCTTCGTCGGCCCGTCTGGATCGATAGAATCCAAGTCCGGCTTGAATCTAAAAGATCGTGAAAAGTTACATTCTGCTGGAAACCAAATAAACATTATCTGCTTGTCTAGGCTATATTAACAAGACTGCACTCAAGAGAGTCACGTAAATACATTTACTGCTAACCCTGTGTGTGGATGCATGGCCGCACACACCAACATGATTTATGTCAGTCAGGCGTGCTAGAAATTTGAAAGATTTGTTCAACAAATTGGATATGTCACTGTGTGTATGTGTGTGACGGTGCACGAAGGCTGGGAAAGAGAAGACTTAAAGGGGGAAAAAAAAGCCCACCCCGACAAAACAGGAAAATGTAAATGTGTGGCAACTGGAAAATGTTGTTGTGGATTAGAAGCTGTAAATTTATTAACATTGCACCTTTGTGACAGAGGTAATGTGTAGTTGAAGCGCAGGCAAAGGCCAAATCCCGGTGTTAACATGTTCTACTTAGAAAGTCAAGTCACCCCCGGTTTTATTCGCAAAATGAAAATATCTGTGAATAAATTGGGAAGATTTAGCACGCACCGCACAAGCTAATATAACGAATATATGTGATGTTAAACAGAACTACTTGACGAAGGGTTCTCTCGCTGCCATTTTATGAGCTTTGTGGTGGATGTTCAGCATTCGGTATGTCAACTAGATTAGGTTCTTGTATTAACTGCTTATTTTTAATAGATTATTTTAAATTTTCTTTTCTAGAATATTAATTACGAGTCATTCCTTACTTCTTTTTTTTTTTTTAAATTTACGTTACACTTTGAAATTCTATTATTACTAAGCTAATGATATTATTCTTGGTTATAATTATCGATTATTCTTTGTTATTCTATCTTTAGAATTATTTAAAATTATGTTATCGAGTAGATGTATATAAGCTTTTAAAGAAGTTGATTAGATTTTTTCGTGTAGACCTTTTAAATTTAATTATATATAGCCTATAGCCTATAGCCTATATATACTTTTTTTTTATTAATTGAAAAATAATGAATTTATATTGCAAATCGACTTAAAACTGAAGAATATCGTTCAAATATTTACTCTATTAAATAAATTTCCAGTTTGTTTGTTTTAGTAAGATTGGTTTTTCAAGTTGGTTTATTGGAGATTTTACGTTTTATTTATCCTTAATTGAACAAAAAATAATAATAATTTATATTTTTATCTTCTTTTTAAATGTGATAATTGAGAACAAGTTATCTAATAACTAAAAATATAATTTTTCTTTTCATAAACGTGGAGAGAAATTCACTTGTTTTACAACTTGCCACTAATGTAATTTTTCTTTCCTAGACAGAAGGGCCATTTTTTTAACTAGAGAAACGCCAATTGAATTAACAAAAAGCACTTTCACAAGCCAACAGACGTGGTCCTTTCTAGATTAAATAGAAACATGATAAGTTTCTAGACTACTGGTAAAAATGAAATTGAGTAATCCAAATTGTACGGATTTATTACATAATCATCTATTTATCAGGCCTAAATGATTCGTTTCATGCAAACAACATTAAAGGAAAATATTAAGATAATATAGGCCCTAAACACTATTATTAAAAATATGCCATTAGTCTAAAATGTTACATCGTAACATTCGCCTATGGCAAGTGCTGAAACGAAAGAAAATTATCACGAAACGGGAAGTCATCAAGGAAAATTTCATTAAAAAATCATAAAAAAATATACAGTATCTGGGTTCTAAATAGAGGTGACCACACACATAGCTGAAGAAAAGACCTTAGATGAAGATTTTCAATGTAAAATTGATCCTATTATCTGTAATAAAATTCCGTACGAATATAGTTTATAAAATGAATAATGCTAGTTACTGTGTAACAATTCGATTTATACTGTATATTTTTATTTACAGAAATTTGCATAAAGTTGCTGGAAACGTGGTTTAGAACCTCACCCAAGAACAAACAGGACGGACAGAAGAGCGAAGAGAAAAAGTAGAAGACCATCAAAAAGCCGATCAATCAAAAGCAGTGCTAAAGTCCTTATTAAACGTCTTATTATAACTATCCCAAAACAGACAATTAAGAGTACACTGTGATCTTCCCACGATGGACTATTATTGGAACGGTACTTGTCAAAATAGTTGATGAACGATCGACATTTTACTAATCATTATCATTATATATATTAGATGGAGCGCTTCAAACGTTGCGAAGGACAAAATATTCAACATAAGTGTGTGTTTAGTTAAAACAGGCTGCAAAAATCACCTGTTTCTTTTTCAGGCTTTACGCTATCTGTTCTGCATAAATGATAGGGGCTTTATTGTGTCCAATGATAGATGAAGTCAAATTCTCGTGGACATTTTTTGATTTTTACTAAAGAAATTCGTAAAAAATTATAACTAAATCACGTCAAAATTTTATTAATAAATTATTCTCGTTAAAAATATGAATGTCATGTGTAATGTGTTCGACTAAAAACGTAGCCTACAAGACACGTTTTTTTTTAAAATTCATTCTAAACACGAATCATCATGATTTACGCTTGTGTCGGCCTGATTCAAAACGTCTCTTTTTTCAAGAATTAAATATCATCTCTTCACCGTGCAATCCGATTTTAACATTGAACATATATTTAACATTTGTATACGATTGATTATTATAGCATCTAATGGATTGCGGTGTGTTTTTTACTCCTCTACATCAGGTTTGTTAGAGCCATTGTGAGTCATTAATAAGTCTACTCAGGTAGACGACCTTCCGAACGTCACTTTTTTTTTTTTATCACTCGCAGTTGATATTCTCGCCTATCATTTAAGTGTAATTAATTTAATGACGAACTTATTCAGCATCTTCTCTTCTATAATATTCTTTAATTAGTCCAATTATGGTGACATATATAAAGAGATAGACACGAAACTAATGTGCACTTTTCTATCTTCACCTCTTTCCACACACAAGCTTGATAACGGATGGTTCAATAAATTTATTACCTTTTTTTTTAATATAGACTAAAACATTTTCAAAGCTCGCACAACGCATCAAATCACTTTAATTATATATGTATATGTATATAAATTAAAGCCTGAGATCATAAATAAAAGTCTAAATAGTAAAAATATTCAATTAAATTTTCATTAATTAATCTTAACGGGAGAAAATGAAAGGAAAAGTGATATAACGGAGTGTATTGATATAAGCATGTAAGACAGAATCGAAGCCACTAAGCAGAATAGAAGGGAGAATAAAGGGAGGACACGACATGTCTGATAGATTCAATAAAACACGAACAACCTCTGCGATTCACCGGACCGAACTGTTTTCCATTATCTGCAGTGGTTAGCATGTAATAAGGTGACTTCAGTCTCATTATAAGAGCAGCTGCTGTATTGCTTACACAGCTACAGTTGGTAGCTCACTTCATCCACCTCAGTAGAGAGGACATCAGTATTAATCTGCACCGGCAAAGAATGTAGTTGGCCTAAACGTCATTAGAAATCCAACACGGTCTGATGCAGTCTGACACCAAAAACGTATAATAGCTTAATTTCCCGGCCAAATATCTGACCTGCGACTTCTAGTTTCCGTGCCGAGTTTTTTTCTTTTTCCTATTTTTTTTTTATGTACCAGGTGTTGTCCATTACACCGCCTGGAAAATTATAATAATGACTTTCGTGCAATTAACACAATGTAACTGTTTCCAGTATTGCATTGTGTGGTTTATCAAACACCTGTTTGTGGAACGGTTACAAGTAGAAGTGTTGCAGATTGTCGGTTGGCCTCTCTGTTAAGTTATTGCGCCATCCGGTGTGGTAAATATAGTCGAATTTTGCGTGTACCAGGTAGAAAGTAATTTATTGTTTTTAAAAACTATGTTCAATACGAATAAATTCGTATGTAGATTCTCTGTACGAATTTTTAATTAAATGTTTAAAGTGATAATTTAAATTTTTATTGGTTATATTGGAAGTAAAAAAAAGGGATTTTTATTGGGGACTATTAGGCCAAAATTAGTTTAATGTTTATTCTATTTAACAAGCTTACGTCGGGGATTTTCATCGGGTCTACTAGACTTAACTTAGCTAGATTTTCGTTGGGACTAATAAGCTGAAAACGTTGGCTTTTCTTTGTGTGTAATGGACTTAAATCAATGGATTTTCTAGGTCCCAATCAGCTGAAATCGGTGGATTTTTGTTGGCCGTAATAACCTTAAGAAGATTGATTTTCGTTACACCCAATTATGCGGTTTGACTAGACTTTCTATGACGTCACCGATGTCGTTACTATTCCTACGCGACGTTATAAAACATCTTATAAAAAGTATAAAATCGATTTATATTATTCGCAGAACAATTTATAAAAGTAATTTAAGGCATCTTTACGATAATTATGGATACAAAACGATTGTTAATATCGTAAGTTTTTCCTATATTAAAATAGGAAATTATCATTTGATCAACCCTTTACAAGCGCAAAACACTTTATATTTTTTATTATTATTATTTTCGATTAGGTGGTGAAGGAGATTGAAATTATCGCGTGAGTATCATGAATAGCATTGTTGAATGACGATGTTTACAAGAGAACCACACCATTCTGTGGATACCCTAAGGGTCTAGACGGGGTCTCCAGAGATACCGTTTATAATCCAACCTTCGTTTTCAGTAATGTCAGGATATCAGTTCCTTTTGTGTCTTCCATGTTCCATCTCAAATATTTGTCAAGTTTGAACAGACGTCTGTGACGTCAAATTCAACGTCGTTTGTCAAATGGAGAAGCACAAAGGTCATTCTATTAGGAATAGTTTAAAAGAGGAGGCGATAAAGAGGAAGATGTAAAATGGAATACTTATCACTTCAGTTGTAAAGGAGAAGCGCTGTCGGGCCCGCGGCCCTGTATAAGTCAATACGTCCGGCCCAAACCGGATAATAGGGTTATTAGGGCTGGCGGATCTATCGAGAATGAGAGTATTTATACCCGTCTCTACCATTTTGAAAATATATTAAAAATTTCGGGAGATCGAAATTGTTATCTATTCTATCTTGCTACAGATAAACTTTATTCGTCTTACAAAGTAGTACGATTTATTTAATAAACTTATTCTTGGTGGAAAAAATGCATAAAATCATCGTTGTCTAAATTCGTTAACTGCTAAAACAGGCAAAACTTCATACATACAAACTGCTTGGAAATAAGACCCGACTTCGTTCGGAACTTGATGGACAGAATCCAATTACCAAAGGCCTCATACCATCAGTAACGCAGTGCAGTGTGGGACCGTTTCACGCCCCATAAACCAAAGCCCCGACCACGAAAAGTAGATCAAAGCCCAAAATCGCTTCAGGTTGTTAGTGCTCCTCTGATCCTAACTGTCTCCCCCTAAACCAATAAGAGGCTTCTCTTCCAACCCAGAATCCTTTGTAGTGAGTCATGTGACTGACCTCTTAATCTTCTGTTCAAGTCCCCCCTCTTTCGTTCGACTTGTAATTTGTTATGTGCCCGTTCGTCTATACGCATTTGCTGATTACTAACTTTTTAACAAAATTACTTTTGATTTTTATATCTTGCCATACTTAAATATACATATAGGCCTATATATACAGATATGTAACAAGCTTTATTATCAAAAACAGAATTCTCTTATTAGAAATCTATAAAATTCGAGTAATGGTTGGCGAAATGAAAATGAATTGTTTTTGGGAACTGGTCGAAAATAGAGACGTGATTCTTTCCATTTCAGCATGTAAAAAGTTGGAATAAATCATTAAACATCATCATTATCATTAACCATTTGTGTGATGCTGCAGAAAAAAAAATCGACTGAAGTCTACCACTTGAAGTATTTTTAATTAATTCTCGAGTATGCTACTTCCATACGATTCAGAGAATTTACACGTTATCCTCTTTACGTTCAATACTCGTAGGGATAATAAGGCAATCCTATAATAAATTAATAACAGAATAAACACGTTTGCAACAATCAAAAACAAACCAGATTACATGTAATTAATCTTATCTAATTAAGAAAAACTTTCAGATCATTATTTTCCATTCTTTGTACTTCTTTTAAAAGTTCAAAAGATGAAAGTTATTTGATAAATTTAACCATCATAAGGATTACTGTTAATGCAGTAGAAAAAGTCAAAGGTTTTAATCAGGTAAAGATGCAGACAGATTCGTCTGTCGGCGTTACAGTAGCTTTACCAACTTTGAATTCCCCTCTAATCGTATTAGAGTAGAAGGCGGTGCGAAGCTTCCACTCTTCATAGACGCACTAATGTAGGGTTAAGAGAGGTCATCCTATGTACCTTAACAGCACGGGATGTACAAAGAGAAGTGAACCAATCGGAAAATGGCAACTATCAAGACCGAGTCCAGTTTACAGCATTACATGCGAACATATGGTGAAGAATAGAAAATTGTCCGGTTTGTTATAACCTAGTGTGAAAAACTCTCCTTCAAATCGCAGTTTTATATATGTTTTTTAAGGGTGTTTGTATGTGCGTACGGACACCTGCCCATTTCGCACTATGGTAAATAGAAATAGGGATTTTTCTATAGAACAATCATGTGAGAATATCACACTCTACAATTGGCTGACTGATTCAATTTTGTTCCCCTACCTGTAGTAACATATCCCCAATACTTCTCAATGGCAATCGTTCTGACAATTGCCTCATGTAAGAGTGCTATGACACGTTGAGGACCCTTATACCGGGAGGAGGTACGGCAGCAATTAAAGGGGATTAGATCAAACCGCACATTTCAAAGCTCAATGCACACTTAAGAGAGAGGGGAGATGTGTTCCGGTTGAAAGAGCAGATAGGTTTGGTATCCCAACGGCTCCTATAGAGTCTGCTTGTCTCTTTTATCTATATAAGAATACTCCATTTTCAGCCTGCATTCGAATGGTTTTCTACCATACCATCAAATCCTCCTACAAATCTTCATCCCATCGCGATGCTCCGGTAAAGATGGTCCGAAATAGAAAGAGGTGATTCAGAAAAGATTTTTGCCAATGGAAAATACTCAACCTCTCACCATTATTTCAAGGAAAAAGCAACTTCCTATCCTACTTTCCGCGATAGCCCATCCTTAATTGCTGAAAATGTTAAAGTATTTTAATGATGAAAGGTGGGAGAGGCGTATAATGAATGATCAAACTCCACCTCATCTCCTCGTTCCACCAAAAAAAAAATGATAAACTAAAATTGAAGATTTTTATATTAATTAATACAAACAGAATCGAAATAAGTTATATAGAATGTTTAATCTTTGGAAACAAATAAATAGGAAATTTGTTAAGAAAAAAAACAAATCTATACTTTCAGTAATTAGAATTAATTAACCTTGATTTTTATACGTCAAATTTTTATCACTGCAGTAATTCAAATCTTCATTAACTCCATTAAAATCAAAAACTCGAAAACGGAATTAATTTGAATATTATTTAATTAGTTATTGTAAACTGCTAGCGACTTTTTCTCGCCTTGTTTTTGAAAGAGAAGAATTCGTAAAATTCTTTAAATATTCCAGTTTGTGTTAATAAATATTTTCCCCGGTTGTGTAGAATTAATAACGAAATTTAAAAAAAGTTAATTAATAATAAAAGAAAAAGGTTAAAAATGAAGTATAAAAGATTACAAATCAATAACGGAGCGTATAATTTATGAGTGAATTAAAAGTAGCAAACGATACACGAGATTGATTTTCTAAATATCAGAACATAAACATCAGATAAGACTTTTA